TAACCAGACCAAACAAAGTCCCCAGAATGTGAAACAAATCTTTGTAATTATAGTTCTTATTTGGTAATAGACCCGATGTAGATATTGGCCTCCTCCGGAGAGGTGAAAACTCGCGTAGTTCCACCATGTGTAATACGCAACCGGGCCGGATGAAGCAAGCCGAACCGGACCCCCTCAATGCCGCGGAGCCGGCGGCGGCAGTCCGTAAAGACTGCTCGTGCTCGGGCCGTCCTGACAGCATAATCGGGGAAAACGAAGATAGTCATACCGTTCATCTTGATCCGCTGCAGCTCCCTTGCCTTCGACAGGATTTTCACACAGTCAGTGTAGTAATGTAGCTTAGCTACGATGGGGCGAGGGCGTTCACCTGCCTTGGGTTTGGGGATCGGGATACGGTGAGCGCGGTCTACCAACGGCTCCTCCGCGAAACCGAAGGCTTCCTTCAGCAACCGAGAGACCGCAGCCATCGAGGCCGATAAAGGGTCATCCTCCGGGACTCCAATGATGCGGATGTTCTGACGCCGGGACCGGAACTCCAAGTCACCACATTTATCCTCCAAATGTGCCACAGTTTTAGTAAGGCTGTCTACTGTCTTCCGGAGGCTAACGATGTTATCAGTGCAGGTGGACAGGGATTTCTCCATCCCAGCAACCGTTACGTTTAGCCCAGTAAAACTCTCCTGCACCACAGTGAGGCCAGAGGACCGTTCCTTCTTGAAGGATAGCAGCTCGGATTTAATCGAAGAAAGACTTTCACCAAGAACAGCATGAAACTCTGCTTTAAGTATAGCGGTAAAGTCCTCCCGGAGGGCCGCAAGCAGCTACTGTTTAAGACTGCTGGTATCACTAATTGCAGCGGCACGGGCCGCCGCCCCCGGCCCAGGTGACGACTCAGCACAGGTCGAGGACTCACCACGAGGACCCGGCCGCAGGTGGGACTGAATCGAATTTCCTCCTGTAACAGGCTTTGGTGGCATTTTAGTATCCAAAAAAGAAAGATGGTGTTCACTGTATAGGTTACGTATCGCTTAAAGTTGAAGTCGAGAAAAAGTGCCAGGTAATAATGAACAAAAAACAGCTAACCCCGCAGGAGCAACAAAACACAACTTACTCCACCGCCATTCAGCCGGAAGTCATCGTAGGTAACACAGTTTAACGGAATTTTGTCAGCATTTGATTAAATTAACAAACCACAATTTGAAGTTGAAGGGGTAAAAACAACAAAACTGAGCTATGCAATGACTGCCAAGTTGGAAGCTTAAGCTTCCTTTTCCTACAACTACTAAGTTTTCGTCATAGTCGAAGCACCGTCTGTTGAGCTAACTGGTAAGTTACCAACTGCATGGAAATGAACAAAATGGCATCAGCCTTGGGGTACATTTAAATACTGCATCCTGATTGCAGCAACCACTGGAAGTTCGCCCTGCCCGAACACGCCCTGAGGAGGACAAAGGTAGGAGGCACTCAAAGTTAAAGCAGACACCAACTGGCGGATGAGCAGAAGACGACGCAGCATGTCGGTCGAAATCCAAGATGAGCCTGGGGTGCAGGATAAAGGAGTGTGGAATCCAGGACCAATGCTCTGGGCCGTAGCCCACCCAATCCACCAGAAACTGGTGACCCCGACCCCAAGGCCAGACATCCACGATGCGGCGCACAGTGAAGGCAGTATGGCCACCCACGCAGGAGGAGGGGGCCTGGACGGAAGGCACAAAGGAGTAGAATACCATCCATCCATCCATCCATTATCAATACCGCTTATTCCCTGATGGGGTCGCGGGGGGAACTGGAGCCTATCCCAGTGGTCAACGGGCGAGAGGCAGGGTACACCCTGGACAGTCTGAGGAGTAGAATAGACAGGTTTAATTTGTGACACATGAAAAACAGGGTGGACCTGAAGGTGAGAAGGAATGAACAGTAGGACAACTAATGACAGATTGGATGGAAAATGGACTTAAAAACCAGGGGGATTATTTTCAGGAGCATCCTTTCAGGGCGAAGTCTTTGGAGGAGAGCCAGAATTGTTGCACAGAGCAATAGACAAGAGTGGGGATGCATTTGTGGTCCGCATACTTCTTATACTGTGCAGACTTGCGGTTAAGAGCGGCCCTTGTCTGATCCCAAATGTGGCGGAAAGCTGCGAAGTGGGCCTTGATAGAGGTGATGACTGCAACCGGGAATGAAGACGGGAGAAGAGATGGTTGATACCCTAATGAAGCCTCAAAATGGGACAACACTGAGGCAAGTGGAGATGTGACAGATGCGACAGTTGTAATACAGAGCAGAAGTCCTTCCACACTTGTGAAATGAACTGAGGACCACAATCAGGAAGTATTTCTGAGGGGATGACGTGAATTATGAAAACATAGGTGTTATATATTGGGAAATATTGGGAACGGAACTATAGTAAAATTGGGGGTTGCCCCACCGGGGGCCAGTTTGGTGTGGGACGTCCCAGTTGGCACTGTTGTATTTGCCGGTTGATTAATCTGAAGTAATTAAAATGACAACTCAAGTCCCCTGCCTCCGTGTGGATTAAATGGATTAACGCTGGTACACTCGGTAATCGGTACAATAAGTCAAGAGGATGCAAGCAGTTTCCGCAGCAGACAGGAGTTTAAGAGCAATGAAGTGGCAGGCCCTGGAAAATCTGTCAATAATACTCAGGATAATGGTTTTGTTCTTTGAAACTGGGAGACCTGTGATAAGGCAACGTGAGACCATAAGCCAGTGGGACTTGAAAGAGGCTGCAAGAGTCAATTTCTTTCTCTAAATCTACTGTCAACCTGGATTGTAGGATTTATTAGATAATCCAAAGTCTCCTGCTCAGGAGACAGGCAAGTTCATCCTTTAACCTATCCACAGGGAATGCTGAAACGCCCTCTTGAGGGCAGTCAAGAGGGCCTATCTCAATCTCCCTTAGAGATAAGGTGAGAAGCTCAGCCATCCGGGAGGGGCTCAGAGTAGAGCCGCCGCCCCTCCACGTGGAGAGGAGCCAGTTGAGGTGGCTCGGGCATCTGATTAGGATGCCTCCTGGTTGCCTCCCTGGTGAGGTGTTCCGGGTACGTCCTACAAGGAGAAGGCCCAAAGGGAAACCCAGGACACGCTGGAGGCACTATGTGTCTCGGCTGGCCTGGGAACGCCTCGAGAGGAGGAGGAGCTGGCAGAAGTGGCAGGGGAGGTGGAAGTCTGGGTTTCCCTGCTTTAGCTGCTGCCCCCACGACCTGACCCCGGATAAGCGGTGGAAAATGGATGGATGGATGGAACTCATCTTATTAGGCCGTGGGCCAGAATCTGTACGATGACTTTTCGTTTGAACTTTTTAGGGCAACTTTCCTCCAGTTTAATTAGATACTTTGGACTTCAGTAATCTCAAAAAGCCAATGTTCCCACGATTTCACTTGCAATTTAATTTATTACAGCCAATCAAAATTTTGATAGTTCCACATCTGGCCAATAGGTGGCTAAAACTAAGAAAATTTCCACATTTTCGGTTTTAACCAAGTGATTTTTACCTAAATAATTTATAATCATTAAGGTTGATTATTCGAAAAAGGTTTTTTTTCATGCAAAAACTGCTGGAATCAACACGGAAATGCAATTTTGACCTTTAAATATGATTTTCGCCGCCAGAGGGCCACTGAAGCTGAACTACTGCATATTTCCCACTTTGTACAGCCATAGCAAGACAAAGGACAATAATTTGATTTGAAAAAAACTTGTTTTTTGTCCAAATAACCTCTTACTAATTTAATTCTTGAAAAACTGACATCATTTTCCTTCATCTTGCATTTATTAACTTAATGAAAGAAAAACAATATAGGGTATTTTCACTTTAAAAAATAATCAAAACAACATAATACAGTTGAACAAAACTTTATTATCACAAGTAAACCTTGCAATAAAAAATTTAATAATATATCATTTTCACTGTCAATATAAAGTAACTAGGGATCCATATTTATATCAGTGGCGGGCCGTGCATTTTACACCTAGGCCTTCAGTAGTGCTCCGTCTGAATCAATTCACCCCTCAATAACTATTTTATGGTTATAGAAATCATCTTAATATGTAGAAATACAGTAGGGATGTCCCGATCCAGCTTTTTGTATTAAAGTTGATTTTTTTTTTCTACTTACTTAGTTGTCAGACTCATGTTGAACAGGGATTTACTCTTATAACAACTAAAGTTTACACAGACCTGTGGGTTAGGAGATGCTAATGCTAATGCTAATGCTCGGGTGGGATCGGACTTTAAAAAAAAATGTATCTGGAGTCTCGATTGGCATTTTCTCATGCCGGCCGATACGATCCAAATATCGGATCAGGACAATCCTAAAATACAGTCTAAAGATCAGGGGTGCACAAGTGTTCTACTCCTGCAGCTACAGCGGCGATCCCCCCCCCCCCCCCCCCCCCCCC